CACTCAGCACCTCAAGGTGCTGGTTCATGTAAACATACTGTAACTAGCAAGGATGACTTGGACAGGGTTACTAATAGGTTTCCCATCTTGGCAAAATCTTTCCTCAGTTTCTATCTTTCCTTATTGCAAAATAAGCCAAAACGCTGTGGCTGGTGGCATGTGCAGTGGGGAGCTGTACCATGTCCCCAGCAGCCCCAACCGCTTTTTTCCTTCTGGAACTGTGCAGAAGTCCAGCCACCCCAAACCATCCTCTCATGCACAGGAAGCCAGTGGTGGCCAATAACAAAGTGCCCTCCTGGCCAGGAATTGCCCCCCCTGAAGGTACTCTGGTCTCCTCCTCTCTTCTGGGGTCCCTCCTGTTCCTACGGCCCCTCAGCCCCCCAGGTGCCAGTGGCCACGCCTCCTGCCCCGCCCTCACCTCTGGTTTGTAGGCTTTCCGAAATCTTGAGGGCCCATCAGGGCTGAAGACCTGGCTAGGTACACAGCTGACCACCACGGGCTGCCCATTCTCACAGGTGACGTTCTTCACGGGGTCCTGTGACACTTGGGGCCCCAGATTGCAGCTGGAGACGTGGGCCTCCGTGCCAGTGCAGTTCATGGAGTACGGCCAGTAGCGCTTCTTCCTCCGTGCGGCCAGCATTCTGCGGAGGGCGTGAGGAGGCAGGTGACCAGGGCACCCTGGTGTCTACCGGATCCCTTCAGGCGCAGTTCTGCTCTGGGAGCTTAGTCCTGCTGCCCAGGCGGGATCTCTGCCCAGCGCGTGCTGCCAGCACCCCAGAGCACTGATCATGCTTGCTGGGTAATGGGCGGCAAGACCCCAGGGTGCACATGGCCTCCTACCCTCATGTGATGAAATAATAATAATGAAACCTGTAAACACAAAATGCAAAAGAAGTATCTAAAACAGGTGAGGTCCTTGGTCGCAGAAATGCTCCCTGAAGGGCTGGCCACGCTAACGTTTAAAAATTTCACCACAACCTGTTGCTATTGCCCAGCTTTATTACCACAAATCGACGAACAGCACAAGTTGACTGAACTTTCTCCGATTATAGACAAGATTAAATGTGTAAATCCAGTGAGAAGAGGCTTACACGACCCAATCTGCTGAATCAAATAAATCGCTCTGCATTGGAAACTGCAATGGAAATGAAATTCTGCAGCTGATTTGATCAAATCTTTGAGTTGAGGTCTTAATCCCTGTTCTAGGGAAGTCCTTAGTCTGTATTTCCTACACATACGTATTGTTCCTTATGATTTTTTTCTGAAGGCAGGATATGGATTAGTTTTTTCTGAAGGCAGGATAAGGCAAAGTTTCTTTTTTTCCAACCAACAAATAATGCACTGGTGAACAGAAAGGTTATAATGACTCAATTTCCTCATGTCCATAGGAGAAAGAGTATAAATCCGTATGTCCTAAGATTCTCCTGTATTAGCTCATGTTCTGCAGCTATAGAGGAATATCACAGATGAGCTCATTCACACAATAGAACTTATTTGACTTACTGTTTGGGAGGCTGGAAACTCCGAAAGTGTGGATCCAGCATCTGGGGAGGGCCTTGTGTCATCCCATGGCAGATGGACAAACAAGCATACACAGACAGAGAGGAAATGATAACCAACCCAGGCTCATGATAGCGACATTCACCCACTCAGAAGGACACGGCCCTCATGGACTAATCAACTCTTAAAGGACCCACTTTGGAAAGCTGTTACAAAGACAATGAAATAGCACTGTGATAGCTAAATGAGCTAACACCTGTCAAGCACTTAAAACAATGTCCAGAAATAGGATGTGCTTGTGAAAAAAATGAACGAAAGCTTGTGGTTAAAGGCAAAAAAGAAAAGGAATGAGAAGAGGGCTCCTTGTGGCTGAGTGAGGAAGACGACCTCACACAAGAGTGGGCTTTGCATTGGCCTTGATGGACGATAGCTTTGAAGGGGAGAAGGAAGGCAGGACACAAGTCTTTGGACACTGTCCAGCTTTCTGGGGCCTGCGCACTTGTCCCTGCATGGCAAGACTCATCAAGATGTCAGAGAAAACCAGGCACTTGCCAGCTGCCTGGTGCAGGTGCCTCTCTGGACAGGCTGATCCCGGATGGACTAGTGTGGGGGGCCACCTGGACGACTCTCCTTCAAAGAGGAGCTATTGTCTCCATTTTGGCTGAGCCTGACCCTGTCTCCATGTACTGATATGCACAGAGCTGGCCAGGACCCTTTCCTTATCCCTTCAGTTGGCTTTAAGCAGTGCGTATCGGTCTAGCTGAGGTGCTGATGGTAGTCTTTGAAGACGGCAGGCGTGTTTCCCCAACACCCCTGACCCACTGTTCCGAACCCCCACCCGGCGTTACACTGTCGCTGTTGGCTGGGATCAAGCCTCATGGAGGCTATGCCTTCCTGGGGCTTGAAAGATTACACATCAGAGCTGAAGCACTGACCCCAAAACATTAGATACTATCTCAATTGTGTTATGCGGACTACTCTCTCTGCATATCCTTCTCTCTGCATATGGCAGAGGTGATTTCACACCTCCTACCTACCTAGCGCAGCTCATAACACACCTATTCCCCCCTCTCTTCTCATAGTCACTCATCCTCAAGCCACTCCTTTCTTCATAATTGAATAAAACCCAGCTTTGGCCTTGGGTGGAGGCCTTTGTTCTGGATGGCCATCCTCATGGCTGGATTTAGGGGCTCCCCATAACTGCAAATATGCCTTAGTGTCTTTATTCTCACCATGGATTGCACTGGAAATGGTAGATTGGAATTAACTCGCTAGAAATCCAGTAACTTTGCATGGGATTACAAACGTAAACTTCCTGGGCTGCGACGAGGACTGGGAAGGGCTCTCTACAGCCTAGGAACAGGGTCCCGTCCCTGTTGGTCCCGCTGCCCTGGAAATACCGGCTTTGTGAAGGACCTGCAAACACAGAGGAAGGGCAAATCCTCCAGATGTCATCACTGTCTCTCCTTAACCAAAATGAGACTTGTGACAATTCTAGTCTGTCTGTGAGTACAACAACATGGGATCATCGCAATAAAGATTATCTTGGAAAATTCAGGATGTGTGCTCACTACAGTGACATCATAGAGCAGAGGTTCCTCGGGAGACTATTAATAATCCCAAGAACCACTGCCTGCCCCTCCCACTTCCTGCAAGGCCCTGTGCCAGGAAATCCACAGCTCGTTCCCCTGACCCCCACCTCGGCCGGTGGGGAGAACACACTCAGAAAACACCAACTGCATAAGGAGGACTGCTCAGACCGCGCTGGCCGGGCTTGGCTCAGGAAAACCCTTTTGCTTCCAGATGTCAGGGAACACCACCCTCTCCGGAACAGATGTACTGAGCTCTTCAAAGAGATCCAGCAAGCAGAGCTGCCCCAGGCCCTCTCCTGCCTTTCCCAGGCTGCTGCTTCCATCTTCCATCAGCTCTGAGGAATGTGCCGCCCACCTGATCTGCGCCTCAGGCCTCCACCAGCCAGACCACCCCTCCCCCAAATCGGTGTGATTCATGGCCCCAGGGATGCTGAGAAAGGCGCCAGGGAGATAGTGGAAGACGGGAGCTGCGGAGAGCCTCCGGCCATGCCGTAAGCCCACTTGCAAATAGGTCTCTGGGCCTGTGGCTGGGTGGTAGCAGAAACACTGAGCTGGACTGTTTCCACAAAACATGGAAAGTTCTAGCGGCTTTCCCCAGCCAAGGGGGATGCCAGACTTCTTGGGATCCAGCCAGCTGCTGAGTATGTCTATTCCAATGATGTTTTCCAGAACTGGGAAATCACCACAGGATAGGGTTAGGGATGCCCTGGACCCATGATGAGGCAGACTTGAGCTGGAGCTCCACAAGCCCCTCTGACGAGCAGGCTGCTTTGGATCTCCTAGAATAAGTAAGTGTCCGTTCAGAACCTGTGTCCAGCAGCCCCTGAAGTCTAACTCCTTCCTTCTCCCCAATGCAGTCATCCTGATAAAGGGCCCTCTTGGGAAAGGCTTGGAGAAGCCTGCATTTTTGGCACGGTACTGAGGTCCTCCCTCAAGGGGTCCCACCTCCTTTTCATTCCTGGGTGCTGGGTCTATAAACTGGCATGGCTTGAGAGGGCCGTGACTGTTCAGTTGCCTGGAGCTTGTCTGTGTGTGCAGATCAAGGCAGATTCAGTAGGCTTCCTAGCTCACTTTGGAGCAGGCAACTGGCCTGGACGAGGTCTGAGGAATCAGACAACTCTCACGGCTGCTGGACTCTGCAGTCGCTTACAGGACCCACGCCCCTTGCTTTTGGTGACCGATTGGGACCGCTTGGCCCCTCCAGCCCTGTATCACTCCCATTGCATTTAGGTTCCTGTTCAGTGGCTGTCTTGCCTAGCGTGAGCCCTGGCCTCCCGGGAGGAGGCATGACAGAGTTGAGCATGCTGGGGACTCTTCATAAGCACCACGGCGACAGGCACGCCTTCTAGACCTCCAGTATGGCCGAGTGGCTCTTGAATGTCCATCCACTCCAACAGTTCCCTCTGCATCCTTTCCTCTGCATCAGACCAACGCCCGGCGTTTCCCACTCACTCTCGGCGGGCAGCCCTGGAGGTCCAGCCTCCTGCTCGCTCACCTGCCAAACCGTCAGATCCTTTGCTAACTTCGGAGCTGTGACGTCAAAGGCAGACTTGCTGCTCAGGGAGCCCCATCAGAATAAACCAGTGAGCCAATAAACCAGAATCGATACTCAGGTCCTGCTTTAAGAAGAAAATAATGCTGAAGATTACAAAGTGCTGCTGGCCCAGGTCCTGACGGGTGAGCTTCATTGGCTCTGGGGTACGTGTATGGCTCCCCAGTGTGGCACAGAAGCCAAGAAAGAAAGGAGTGACCCTTGGTGAGGGTGCGGGCTCCATTCTCAGGGGCAGCGGCACTGAAATGCAGTGTTCTGGATATAGCAGATGTTGGGGGACAGCAAGGCTCTCAGGCCACTGGGAAACTGGGGCCTCCAAGTGGCCAGCAGGCTGCCAGGTGGTCAGAGGGAGCACGCTCCAGGGCATGGGGGAGACGCCAAGATGGAGAGCCTCAGGGGTGACCAGATTAATCTCCAGGGCTATCAAGTCCACTAGGGACCTGGGAGGATGGAGGGAGATTACTACAGATGCAGTGAACTGCTTTATAACAGCTTCCTCCAGCCACAAGCCAGTTCTCAAGCCTCACTGGAGGGATGTTTATGACAGCAGCCACAGGCTGTGGAAGAGTGACAAGGAGATGGGAAAGATCCTGGGATGGGGCAGCCCTTGGGCTTTGCTTCAGGGCTTCTGTGGACCTCAACTTCTGATCTGTCCCCGGGGGAACTCTGTCCCAGCCCTGCTGAGCTGCCCGGCTCCCAGGGAGGACCAGAGTTGTCCTACAGCAGCCCTGGGCTGTCTTGGGGCTCAGCAGAGCAGGCCAGGAACTGAGCTCCTGCCCCTCAGGCCTCCATCTCTTCTGCAAACTGAACCACCAGCCAGAGATGTCTGAGGCCTTGCCTCACCCCAGCAGTCCTGGCCTTTGCCAGCAGCTCCTCCAGCCTGTGCCAACTCAGGCACTCAGCCAGCCCCCCGGGCACCACTGAGGACCAGAAACCTCCCTTTCTTGCTGGAGCAGATGTCAGCCCAGAGACTAACAAAAATGGCAGAGACAAGCCGAGGTTTGTGCTATGAGGAGGAGCTGGTTCCCAGAGGCTTGTGTCACTCATCTCCCATCACAGTGGGGACACTGCCCATCTCTGCCCCCTTGTACCCTTCCTGCCCTTCAAGGCCCTTTCTTCTTCCAAAGGCAAAAAAACCACAGACAGGGATGGGGGTCAAACCCAGCTCATGAGAGGCTTCCCTGGGGCCCAGCTGTTGAAACCGGCCTGAGACGCCCTCCTGGCAAGCCGGAGAAGGACTCTGGTCTGCTCTGGGTGGAAATAGCTTTCAAACTACAAACAAGCCATGCCCGCTCCGGGGCTCAGACCCTACGGGGCACCCCGGGGGAACTGGGGGTTCCTTCCCACAGAGAAGCCTGTTAGGGGAGAGATTTGCTTTTCTTGACTCCCACGGGTAGGAAAATCTGAGGCCGCATTACTGGGGCGGGAGCTGGCTAACTAACTGGTGAGGACCACCGGGGCCATCAAAGTCTGGGCCCTGTCTGGTGGCTCATGCTCCACATGGTGGTACCCCAGCGTGCCACCAGCACACACTCACCACGTTTGCGGCCTGGACCTCCACCTATTCACTCTCCATCTCCTCATCTCTAGAATAGACCTCTAGTTCCTTTTGGTGTTGCTTGGATTAAGTGACAAAGACAGTGCCCAGCGCGTGTAAGCTCTCAGCAGAAGCTGGCACTGGCACAGTTCCAGAGGAGACAGGAAAACCCCACCACCAACCAGGTTCCATAACCTGGGTTCTGCATCTGCAGATTCAATCCACATCAGAGAGAACATATGCGTCTGCACTGAATAGGTGCAGACTTTTCTTGTCAGGCTCCCCGACCAATACAGTACGGCAGCTACTTGCATAGCACCCACATCTCAGGATCAGGTATAACACCGGGTGTTATACCTGATCCTGAGATGATTTAAAGTATGGACACCCCTCAGGTCAAGTGGGGAAGTCCTGTCACTGCCTCTTTCTTCCAAGGTATTAACCTTGAAACATGGCCTGCTCTGCAGAGCTGGAACAACACGGTCAGGTTTAAATGAAAGAAATGGAATTGAGCAGCTTCTCAATTACCTAGCAATTGCTACAAGCTTTAGATTGCTCGGAATAATCACTGCTGAGGACAAGTAAACATTTCTTCTGAAGTCAGTGCTGGCCTGCCCTGCCCAGTCCGTGATCCCCCCTTGTTTGGCCCCATGTGGTCCCCGAGCTGGCCGTCAGCACCGAGAGGTGCTGGGCACGAGCCCAGGGAGCCCCCACTGGGCACAGCCTTCTTACTTGTAAACCTTGGTGTTGTACGTTTTCTCCCCAGGGAAACCGAACATGCCGCAGACCACGTGGGAATTCTTAGCGGTCCAGTGCTTGTCGCAGATCTGCTTCCAGGCCTTGCCTATCTTCACCTCCACGTAGCCCTCTGTCACCGGGGTGCGATGGCGCAAGGCTGAGAGGACGGGGCGGATCCTGATGTCCTCCACTTGGATATTCAGGTTCTGGGAAGAAGGAGGCACAGAAGGAGAGGGGTTATGCTATGGGCACTTCCGGTGAGCCCATGGCACAGGGCACAGTTACAAGGCGCTAAGCGTGGGAAGTGGCAGGGCTGCAGGGACAGTGGTGGGAGTGGCGGTAACCTGAGGCAATCTAAAAGCCTTGGGGGACCCCGGAAGCTCCCCCAAATGCTGCCAAAGAAACCAGAGAGCTGTGAGCAATAGCCTTATCCCTCATAGGCCTCAGAAATCAGAGCAAGGGAACAAGTATTGTTTTTGAATTTTCAGTGTGAAACAATTTGGGTTTTGCATTTGACTCAAGTGTGTGCCTGTGTGCCCAGCCCGCAATTCCAGGCATCTCTCTCAAAGTGGCATTCCCAGAAGGTGATCCCCCAAGCCTCCAGCAGCTGGTGGTACACCTCGCATGCCCCCTCATTCCTGGGGTAGCACGCCTCTGTTCAGACACCCAGAGCCTTAGGGTGCAGGGACAGGGCACCCTCAATGTCAGGCCTGTCAAGTGCTTGGCCCCAACCTGGAGATGGAGGAGGTAGGTAGGGCTGGGGACAGCTATTTGGCTGTGGCAAGGTGGAACCCTGCTGGAGGAGGGGGCGAAGGCTGGACGGGAGGGTGGAAGGCCCCTCCTCCCCGCCTCATAGGCCTCCTCCCCCACACTGGGCTGGAAAGTCTCAGGTTTCTGAGCCATGCCTACACCAGAGTCCCAGGGATCTGGCAGAAGAGGGGGCCTCCACAGGCCACAGTGAATGAGAGGAATCGGGGTGGGGGTGCCCAGAGCTACAGTGTTACTATTTATGTCTCTCCCAGGCACGCCCCACCAGCCCCCAAGTACTAAGGAATCTGGGATCCCTCCTGTCCACCCGTTTCTGCCCCTTCCCCAGAGGGGCCCTTGCCAGCTTTTACCGCAGTGCATAGCCGGGTCCCTACCTCCATCCATCCAACAGCCACCAGAGAGCTCTTTCCAACACACTCCTCTTACCTCATTTGAAAATAGGCTTCTCTTGGTCTACGTAATACATAAATGATGGAATGAGATGCCCACGGCCCTTCAGCACTGATCCCACCAATTCCTCCAAATCCTTCAACATCCACAGCTCCAAATCAACTCTGAGATACCATGAATTGCCGTACGTCATAGTAACAGCCACTGGGAGTGCTTACCAGGGCCAAGCCCTACGCAGATCCCTTTCTGTGCATCGTCTTCCTTAATCCTCAAGCTGGATAAGCAGGTGGTTTGTAGCACTGCATCCCCATTTGACAGATGAGAAAGCCAGTGGACTCCAATTCCCTCCCCTAGGCCACCCTGGGGCATTCCTTGTGCTGGGAGGGAGGGAGAGGTGGCACTGGTGACAGCCAGGTTGGAAGGAAGGAACCCAGTGACCTGAGTGCCCCAGCCTGTCCAGCCAGGATGCAAATGAGCCACGAGGTTGAACAGAACCCTTATTTGAGTGCCCAAGGATTCATGTCTCTTCCTGCAGGCTTCCAAGTTCCAAGCCTGGTCCCGCCCCACAAGTGCTGCAAGGTGGTGGAAAGTATGCAGCTCGGAGTGATGGCATTTGGCCCTGCTTCCCTTCCACGCAGAGCAAAGGAAAGCTGCCAGGAGCAGGCTTATGTTTTCCAGCCTGGATCCTGGATCCTTTACAGCCGTCATTCAGGCCACAAGACCCGTGCTACTGCAACACGTGGACAAGGTTGAGCCAAGAAGGGGCCTGAGATCTGATCCCACCCACAGGCCAGCTCCCTCCTGCCTCTGCCCACCTTGGGAGGCCGCTGGCATTCCACACATTCCAGTGTGGAAGGCATCATGCCCAGGAGAAAGTTGAGGCTGACCTCATTCCATTCACATCCTCTTCTCGCTGAGGGTAGCAGCACAGGCTCAGCGACTGGAGACGTGAGCCCCGGCATGGCACTAAAGGACGAGGAGGGCCCAGCCGGGGTGCTTAGCCAAGCCCCTGGGAAGGGCCATGCTGGCCACAAGGCTGGAGGTCAGCGCATGCTCCCAGGAACCAGGCCCTGCTCCTGCCCCAATGCAGGATGGATTCCCTCTGCAGAGCTGGCTCCAGGTTGCAGGTACTTAGCACGGAGAAGGGAAAGGGCAGGCCTCGGCTGTCATCGTCCTCATTCCTACGTCACGGCACCTCTTGTGTGTGTGTGCATACGCGTGCATGTGTGCACACACGTGTCTGTGTGTGCCTGTGTCACCTGAGTCTGTGTGTCTGAATCTGCATTTGTGCCCCTGGGAGCCAGCATCTGCACGTGTGTGGGTCTGAGTGCATGATCACACGGCAAGTGGCACGTACGTGTCTGTGTATTGTGTGGGGCTCTGGGTAGGCGTCTGTGTATGAATGGAGGTGTGTAGTCAGGGCACATGTGGGGGTCTGCATAGACGGGGTGTGTGTCTGTGTCCGTGCATGAGGAAAAACAGAAAGAGATGTGTCCCCTCCAATACCTTAAGAAGGCAATCAGGTTGGGCTCCAGGCTTATTCCTCCATCTTCCTTGTTTCTTACTCAACAGGACCAAATCCTTCCCATTCCCAAAGGCTTCAATCATCTCATCCATCCATTCATTCAGTCAGTCAGTCAGTCACTCAGTCAACAAAATATAGATTCTGCCCTCTGTGGGCTTTGCCAGGCTTTCTCCCTTCACCCCAACCACAATGCCCTGTCTTCTGTGAATAGGGACTTCGATGGTCAGTGCCCATCAATTACCAACCGTGAGCTGGGCTCTTTGCATACAACTGTACATCCCTCCCTTCCCCCATTTCCCATGACATCTGTGAGCGGACTAATGCGATATTTGTTTGTAGGTGAAAACTTAATGAGCTTTTGCAACTTGTCCAAGTTCACGCAGCCAATAAGCAGGTAAACAGGGAAGAAAATCACGTTCCACCTTAAGCCCAAGTTCCTGGCTCACAGTGACCGCTGGTCTCCTAGTAGTGCGGGTCCTGTGCGTCTCTGTCTTGCATTGGCTACATGCGGGTGGGGGGCCTCACGTGTGACACTTCTGGGTGGTCCCTTTCAGGCCCGCTGGGCACTGTGGGCACTGCACATTGGAAGTCCAGGACTCCACCCAGCAGGGCAGTGAGACGGGCAGCTGTGTACATGAGGAGAGAGCTGCAACCCCAGCTGCTCTGGTTTCTGGGCAGCGGGGGGAGACGGGGCAGCCCTCTGCCATGCACCCTGCACTCTTGCGAGGCAAGCCGCTCTTCTGTGCTGCTGGGAGCTCTGGGTTGGAAGCCACGTGCATGCTTGCACGATCCCCTTCCTACCTCAGCGCTGTGGAATCCCGGCTGTAACCACAAGGGCTAAGATTTTCTTTTTCCCAGAAGCTCAGCCCAGAAAGAGACGATTTGAAACATTAAAATAGACACACACGTTTCTCCTTGAAGGAAGGGCTCTCTGGACTTGCTTGTTTAAAATCAAACCTAATAGTCCAGAAGGACGACAGCCATCCGCCTATTTTAAAATTCAATTTCAAATCTGTTTGCTGTGCCTCCTGCCAGAGACCACAATGACCGAGGCTTCTTAAAGACCCACAGAAGGCCCGCAGTCATCCTACGTGGAACTTGTCCCATCCCATCACTCAGGAAGGCCCAGGAGTGCTCGGCACCAGCTGCCAGAGGGAAAATTGAGGCGCAGAGAGGCTGGGGACCTGCCTCATTTCAGCACAGTGGCTTAGTGAAAAGCAGGGTTAGGGAAGGAGCCCCTGGGCTGGGGCGGCCAGGCTTGTATCTGCGTGACATTTACCTTCTGCAGCATCTGTCAATGATCTGCAAATTCCAGAATGTACCAGTCTGTGGCTGTCGCCAAGAAGGAAGAATCACCCAATCTGAAAGTCTCTCTGGAGACTGCCTCCGCCGCAAAGCAAGCCTGCGAGAATCTCCTGAGAGTGGGGCTAAAAGCTCAGCACCAAGCAGGCTGCTTCCTGCGGGTCATGCTTGTAGGTCAGACCCGATCCCGATGGTGTTCTCTCCCTTTTCCAGAAGATGCCTTTTGATATCACCCCAGGCCCTGCCACCGCGGAGTCACGACGTCCCATTACACTGGCCTCCCAACAGACTAAGGGGTGCGTCCTAGGACCCTCTGTTCCCATGTCTTGCCCACGTCCACCGCTAAGGGGTCCCCACACCTTGCTCTCAAAGACTGCAGCTTTATTTTATTTATTTATTTATTTTTAAAAAGGCCTGCGGCATTCAGACCCATCTCCCCTGCAGCCAGCATACGGCTTGCCAGCATCCCAAACGAGACACACTCCAGCAGCCCTCAGTCCTTCCCCGCATCATGGAGCCACTGACCCAGGCTCCTGCAGACCACAAGGCCGGCAGCATCCTTTGCACGCGCTCCCTTCTTCCCGCTCACTGACCATTTGGCCCCACTGGTGCCCCACTGTTCTGTCCCGTTAGTTTTCCATCCACACTTCTGGTGCCCAGCCAGGTGAGCAAGGAGAATCGAAGTCCTTTTCTGCACTGGGTTCATCTCTAATCCATTCCACAGATGTTTATCCACGTGGACCCTGGCTCCCACCTCAGCCTTTCCTGTGGCTTCTCAATGCCTGAGGCTTAGCCCACTCCGCAATTCTCTATTCCTCTTCTCTCTGCCTCTCACAATCCTACAAACTCTGGGTCCAGTTTAATCACAAGCTGGACATGGTGGCCCATGCCTGCAATCCCAGCACTTGTGAGGCTGAGGTAGGAGGACCGCTGCAAGTTCAAGGTCAGCCTGGGCTACAGAGTGAATTCAAAGCTAGCCCAAGCTACACAGCAAGACCTTGTGTCAAACAAAAAAATTTAATCACACATTCATTCATAAATATGTATTGAGTGCTACTATGTCCCAGGCATCGCATGAGACCTTCGGACCCACGGGCCAACCACACAGGCACGAAGTTCTGAATCTAGAGGGGAAGAGACTGCTCTGAGCTCTCCATGCAGCCCCTCCTTTGTCTCCAATTACCTCATCCAAGTGGGTCTGAGTTTTTTTGTTTGTTCTTC